GTTTGTTTTGGTTTGTTCCTTTTTAGGCATGTGGGGGGGAATGGAGACGGAAGCAAGGTTAACCAGTATTATGCTGTCAGCCATGCCTCTGAAAGTCAGGCTGTGTCAGGAACCCTCTCCATGGTGAAAGATTTTGAAGCTGAGGTCTTTGAACAAACATTTTGAAACTGGGATTTCACTAATGAATCCATTGGTGACGTGACAGACAGCACACCATAGTGTTTGTTTCCCGTAGCCCTGCTGGCACTCCACAGGCAAAAGGATTGAAACGTAGTAACAGACTTACTCTCACAAGGCAAGCATGCATATGAAAGTGGTAAACACATAGGGAACGGATCTGTTGACTAAGAACATGCCATTTTCACATGGTCACTTTTCTGACTGCAACCGCACTTTATACTTCAGACATGGTTCTGTTTTCCTCTGCTGTGGCACAGCAGATGTGAAGCATTTAAAACTTTTTAACAGGACCCAACCTACAGCTGAATGACAAAACCCTGATAAAATAATCCTTAAATTTACATCCCTCGCATTTTTAATATTCTGTGACAGGGTCAAAAATCTTGATAAATCAAAATTCTCACACTGAAAAAAAACCAAAACAATGGAGTCATGACTCATCGAATGGTAAGAGACTCAAATGTCTCCATGAAGTCCTGTTTTGAACATTAAAAGTTTTAAGATGCAATTTAGAAAATACTTCATCTTCCCAACTGTATCTGCCCACCACAAGATAGAGGAGGAGGAGGAGACAATATACAGAGCTTGGTTTCCAGGAAATCTCTGCTGCCTTCCTGCTGATATGCATGTTTCTTCAGTCTTCAGGTTGGAGTCTACCTCCCCTAAAAGTGTCATGTATCACAGTTTTCTTATTGAGGCAGTGTAACATTGGACATCTCAGAAAATGGCTTCATTTTGCCAAAGTAAATATTCCAAAAAGGGACTTCCACAGGAGAGGGAAGTTAGCAAAAGAAAGTGCCTCTATCTGCTAAAATATAATACAAGAGATTGTTTTAAGGGCTCACCCATCATTTTTCTTGACCTAGCAGAATACTACGGGCACTGCAAGCATCATGGGTTAGTCTGTTTGTGATAGTTACTCTTTTTTAAAGGTAATAGTCCCAGATTCCCATTTTACAACACACCCCGGAGACATGAAACAAATCAAACTATCCATATTTTGCAATCGTTTCTTGGCATGATCTGTGTGGTAATTAAAAATTTTTTAATGGGAATTGCTGCCACAATTTGCAGGCTTCCTTAATCCAGCTATGCTATCTGCAGCACCTCCAGGCACTTGTCTTGTTCTCATAATACAAAATCAACAATACCATGGCAGGACTTGAGGGGATGTCTGACGATGATGAGAACTTAGAAAGGAATGCCAGTATGAAAACTTGGCTAGTGCATGGTGGATTTTTTTGCTGTTGTTTTCAGTGGTGGTGGTAGTGATGTTTATTTATCTAACCATTCTTTTACCAGGAAATATCACATGGACAAGTGAAGTCTTCTTTAGTGAAGGTCTCCAGGCCAACTAGCACTAAATGATTTTAACACAGAATTAATTAAAACAAAAACATTTAAACACTATGATTCTAAACATGGCCTTCAGCTACATACATGCCAAACTACAGCAATTGCAATACAATAAATCAGTGTGAGATATATACTAATGAAGTAAAAACCTGATTTTTGCCAGGACAAGGGCAAAGCTCTCTTAAATATTTTGAAACTTTAGTCTTGAAATGATCAATTATCAACAGACAGCTGCATGGAAGTTTGTTTTGTTTTGTTTTGTTTTTTAGTGAAATTTAACCGTACGTTGCTGCACTTGGAGTTAGTAACTACCATTTGTTTTGTTCTGACTTGAGTAACCCATGTTACTTTCTAGTTTTCAAATTCTCATCCTGTCCCATTGCCCAATTTTCTCTTCCCCCTCGTATTCATATCAAACCTCTCAATGAGAAAAGTGCACAATATCCTCCTGAACTAATTCTTTGTATCAGTTTTTTGAAGATGGAAAAATCCAAATAATGTTATATACTCTCCTATGAATGCAAAATTCAGTGTATTTTTTGTGTTTCTTTTGTACTGAATACAAAACTCTCTAGCCCATTCCAATGAGAAGCGTCACCACACCATAATACCTGGACTTGGAGTATTCAACAAGATTTTTCTTTAAAATGTAATATCATTCCGGGGAGGTTCTTGAGAATGTGGGGGAGGAGGTTAGTGGGGAGAAGGGGGGAGCACAATCATTTAAGAGTTACTTATGTCTGGTTTTCCATCTTATTGCTCTTTTGCATATTAGTGGCACAGTTCTCCACATTGGTTTGCTGCCCATCAAAGTGCACTGAAGTATAAAATAACAAATCACCCTCCACCTCGCACTTTCCCTTCTGGAGGGCTGCAGTTTCAGAGAGTTCATATCTCATCTGAGAAACGTACTCCAGCTGCATAGCTGTTGTTTAATACTAATGTTTATCCATCTGGTGGTATACGCTGTCTCTGCCTTTACACCTCTGTGGAATATGAACACAACCAAATTCACCAGAGATCAACCTGTCTGACACATGGCCTCTCTGTCCAGCTCTCTAAGATGACACTGGTTCTGCCTGGGTCCCCATTCCCTGTAGTAAGACTGCAGCTGCTCTCTGTCAGCCTCGGAGGAATCTGACAAGCTGGAGCAGGTCCAGAAAGCAGTAGCCGCTGGCTTCCTGCCTCTGCAGGTGGGATGGCTGTGAATCCACAAGCATGCCTGGCCCCATGGTGCCAGCTTGTTTGTGCCTGGGCTGTCTTTGAAGCCTACAGTGAAGTTAGAGAAGAGATTACCTTTCCCCTTATATTCCGCAGGGATGCCTCAGGTCTATTTCCCTGGGTTTCATCACCCAGAGCAGGCAAGGGTGCTCACCAGGAAGATGTGCCTCCCCTGACAGTGCACTGAAACACCGGCTCAGCACAAGCCCAGGACGCTGGGCAACGTGTGCCTGTTTGCAGAGGCCTTTACAAAAAGGACAGCAGAAGTCAGGGAATTAAACAGTTAAAGTCAATAACCTTTGCTCAAGACTACGTAGTGCTTATTTGTTTTAAAACTCCATCAATATGGGTTCCACAAAAATAAATTTCTGATATTATTTATATGCTGTATATGCTTTATCTTATTTGAAGCAACAGATTAGACATGAAGCAAGAGGCAGGCAATTTAGCCTTCCTCAGCAGACAAATACTGTTTATCTTATCATGTAAATTATGAAAATAGACCTAGAGGATTTGGCACGGGAAACCTAACATACAATAGGTTAAATAAAGCTTTAGGAGAAAATACCAAGCAGTCTATCATTAAGACAAAGGGATGACGGGTTGGATGACATGCATTTGAACTATCAGTGTCCATACTTCAGACTAGTTGAAGATTTATAATAATTTATTGCTGTCTTACTCTGATCTTCACTGGTAAAATACAGAAATCTGAAATCCTGGTATTTCCTGAAATACTGATTTATTTTTTTTTTTTTTTAAATTTTGGCACCTCTTTCACTTGACACCTCTTTCTCTGAATAAAGGATGCGTGAATTAATTCATCATGCACATTTTTAAAACCCTCTGACACCACTAGCTTGAATAAAGTGTGGTTGGTTTCTAATTGCAATCAGAACATACAAAAAATGGGACAATCAAGACATCACAAAAAGAAAAAAATCATTTAGAATATAATCAGAATTCAGTGGATAGCATATAAAAGGAATATAGGCTAAACTAGGTGAAAAGAGTGAGAACAATTTCTGTGAGAGTAGAACTGAAAAGAGATTTTGATCATCCACTTATGACTGAGTCAGCTTATGGCCCTTGATTAAATTCCTAAAATAATACTGACAACAGTGTACTTGTTCCTTGTACTGCTATTATGACAAACAGTCCTGGCATGAACCATGACTATGAGGCCCACTCTCAACCCTAACCTGTCTTAAAGTTACGGTACACCTTGCAGGCTCTTGACACGCTTACATTCTACACCTCATTTTCAAAATCTGCTGCCTGAGTATGTGCAGCCTTACAAAAGGGAAGTTTCAAGCTTCTCAGCTATCTGGGCAACATCAAATTTTGCCATTTTGTGGGTCAAGAAAAAATCAGGTCAAAAATATCTCAATACACCAACTAGGATACACCAGCAGCTGGGACACACGGCTACCCAAGACCAAGGCCAGGCGGCTCGCTCTTGCACAGACTAATGTCATTCAATAAGGGCAGGGAGCAAATCATTACTGCTGTGATTTTGCTGTCTTCGTGAGTCTGCTTTCCTTAAACTAAAGACTACCTTGCTTGAGCCTAAGATAGTCCTGCTATGGATTTGCCCTTTCTAAGAGGTACTGGCAGTGGAAAGTACTTGGTATTGTCTTTAGAAAACACCATTTCAGAGTAAAAAGCCTCCACAGCCATTCTGAAATCTTCAAATGTAAGAAAATCACCTGTAGCCAAAACCAAAGGGGGAAAAGGGGAAAGGCATGCCTTCAAGGCAGCATCCATGCTCACAACGTGAGGGGTAACCCTAAGCTTCAGTAAATACAATTATGTTCCCTGCTACTGCTATGAGACTCCCATAGGAGGATGGCTCTGTCTTGCAGGATTGCTGCAGCAGCCTGACTGCAACAGGCAGACATGAAGAAGCAGCCCTTGGTGTGGAGGTGGACCAACAGGTAGAACACACCCTCCAAATAAGTTAGAGCACATTGACCAGCTGAGGTGGCCAAGAAACTGTCATAATGTTATCGGCTGGTGTACCATGCCGGGCATGTAGAAATTTGAAACTACAGATGGCTTTGCTTCCTGCCAGACATTTATTTTGCAATACAACAAATGAAAACAGGCCTTTGCATTGCAAACGTCCTATTTCATGAATGTGTGAATATGAAAGCAATTTGTTGACTTTTTTTTTTTTTTTTTAAATGGTTTTGGTTAATACTTGCATGTAAGCAGAAAGTATGATGGTCAAATCACATTACCTTAGAGTAGCAGTAGGACAGCAGAGGTCAGAGCAGGGAGGCTACAGCAAAAAGGGTTTTCAGTCATCTCAAAGAGTCTCTGCCAAGCTGCAAAGGTGGGAAAGGGTATGATGGACTCTTCCCAATGTTTCATATTAGTCTGCAACAAAATAAAGGTAGGCTGTTGAGTGGAAAGCTTCTCGTAGTATCTCTATATCTGTATATATATATTCCTTATAAAATGCAAAATTGGAAATTGAATTGCCCAAAGTTAACACAGTCTCACTACTCCCATACAAACTAGGGTTTTGATGTGGTACTGACTTAGAGGAAACCATTGCCCTAAACTCATTTCACAGATGACTAAACAAAGAGGAGATTATCATAATTTCATTTGATGTTGGTAATTAAAGGTTTTGTAAAATAAAATGAAAGACAACGCTCCCTTGCAGTTTGGAGACTAAGTGAAAGCATATATAGTTTTATAACATATGTACTTAAAATGGCAAGACTTCATCTCCTAAGCCTTTATTTCGTGTATAATTTATGTAGATATACGGTACTGTGGGTTTTTTGGTATAACTAATGGTTAGGCAGAGTTCTTTAAACGTAGTAAAGCAAAAGGAAACAAAATGGACACCATGTGCAAAATCCACAATACGTGCTGTCTTAACCCTTTCATCCTGTACTCTCCCCCACAATCAACTTTTATCTGAAAGGGCCAGCTAGCAGTTAATTTTTTTTATGTAACAGTTGACACAAGCACATCCAATACAGTATACTGATGGAGCTGTATAAAAAAGATTCCACATACTTAGGGGCAGGGGTGGCCTGTGAAATGAAAAAGTAATATTGTCTACTTTTTCATAGCTTGTAAATGGTCTAAGTAATTATTATATGCATTTATTTTATTAAAAGAAGAGGCAGTTTTGTTTTGATTTCTTTGTTCTGAACCCATTTATTACTGCTATCTTTGAAACTCTACAGACACTGCATTTCTGTTACTGACTGGACATTTTTGAAATAGTACCACTATCAGGTAGATCAGATTGTTGGCAAAAGCTTTGGCACTGAAGAGACTCAACAAATAAATTTCATCATGCTGACCCTGTACTAAACAGCAACTTTATGTGGATAACCTCATGGGAATGGAAGTTGAGAAAGAGCTATTTCAAGGCCTCCAATAACTTAATCTCTGTTCAGTTCATAATGCAAAGCCATTTTTGTTTCCTTTGCTCACAGTACTAAAAAGTTTTTGGGATACTGTAATCCTCATAAGATGAGGAGGGCAATGTGGGGGGTAGGGGTTTGCGGGAGGGAGAGGAGATCCCACTCAAATTATGTTCCATTAAAAAAAAAAAGAAAAATAAATAAAAAGCCAACGTTTTCATCTTGGAAATTCTCAGCCTCAGTTACATGAGTGCAAAAAGTAACTTTTATTTGAAGAACTAACACTCACTTCTTTGTTAAGAAAACTTAGGGCACCACCCAGCAGACATGAAGGCTCCTATGTTATCAGCAAACTATTTCCTGGGTATATGTTCACCCTTTCCATGTAGCTTGCTTATTTTCTCAACTCAAAAAAAAAAAGAAAAAAAAAAGAAAAAAAGAGAAAGAAAGAAAAAAAGGCAGTGCAAACAAATTCTATAACACTGCTGAATGATCTGTGTTTTGCTGCAACAACTACAATATTGATGTAATGGAAATTTCATAGGTGTCCAGTTTTGCAGAAAGAAAATTGGCAAAATGCCAAGGGGAACCCTAGTGCAGCCTCACATGTTCTTTCCAAGGTCTCTGTGCAGTGTTGCTGCCTGCAATCATCTGAAAACTGTCTCTAAGAGGCAGAGACAATGTGCACAGCTGAGCAAAATAACTTAGGTGGAAGAACATGACCCCCCATTCCCCTATTAATGGTTAACCTAACCCTTTACCCACAAATGTAACACCAATTACTTTGCAAATTCAGCATTGCAAGCTTGAGTTCTGTAGAGGAGTAAGCTTGCATGATTATGCTCTCTGTCCATCTGGCTCTCCTCCCAGATTTGAACCTTTATGCTAGTCTTAATTATGTTTTGACAAGGGTGGGAGAAGGTAGGACTTGCAAAGAGATCAGATTCCCATAAATGTCTGGAAAGCCAAGGATGAAAGAAGAGCGGGAGATGCTGGTTGTGCCTGCAAAACATACCTACCAGTAGCTCTTTCCTTCACGCCCAGAGTACCCTGCAGCACCTAATATATTGCACCCAACTGGGAAGCACTCAAGGATGCTATAGAGATGGGAGAAGGAAAGGGGAATGGATACAGAGGGGTTAGCTCTGGGTTGTGAGCAAAGAAAATTGGATACACTGTGGGAGAGCCCATCAGCAGAACAGGGAAAGAGAACCAGATCATCCTTAGTGCCACAGTTTAAGGAACCAATAGTCCTCTTACTGGATCTCTCTTCTCCCCCAAGAAATATTTTTGTAAGAGCAGCAGAAATGGTGAGGAAGGAAGATTATACAGCATCCAAAATCAACAGTAGACATGCCACGTAGAAAAGTATTCCTTTCAGTAATCCTGGGGGTCACTTCAAGTAACAAAACAGACAGTGATATGACAAAAACTTAAATCCTGAAATACTTGGCCCTGTAATAACGCCACATGTAGCAGGATAAGCAGTGTGCCCAATGTGGCTATACAGTGCTTACCAGAGGGCTGCAATGCTCAGGGATCTTCTGGCCCTGCAGCCCCAAAATCATGGATCACTGTCTCTACAGCATAGTCTGGCAGCATAACCCAGGGCTTGCAATAATGTCCCCTCTACACTTCTGCAGATGAATCTCATTGTTTCCCAGGAAAGCAAAGCAGAAACTCAGCATCTGCTGGCAGCAGAACACTGCAGTCGCCTCTGCTGACTCCAACTCCCATGGGAGCAACAGAGCCAAACCTCTATGGACGGGTCGGGTCCCAGTTGCCAGTGAGCTGCACAGACCTTGGTGGGCTCACAGCTACAGAATGGCATGAAGAGTAAGATTAATATAAAAGCCAGGTGGTGTACAACTTTTTCAGTTGTTTTGCCCCCGTGGGGGAGAAAGACACAGATGACCTCTATCCCCTGCTACTCCGACTAAATCTTCAGAACTGATTTCTGACATGTTTTAAAATACAATACACCTTTTCACGAAGCTGCCCTTGGAAATCAGCTATACCAACTGTTACTGTATATATCAAGACACAGTATACAGTGTATAGGGTATGTTAATTTCTACAGGACAGTAAGAAGAGATGAAGTAGTCTTATGAGAGAGGAAACCTTTTTTAACTCCGGGTTTATTCTATGGATTTCATAGATCTAACTGGCAGCAGCCAGTCATGGCTTTGCTATTTTCATCAAACCAGAGCTTTAAACACACCTTTGCATTTCACCAAGTTTTGTCCTTGAAAAAGTCACATGTCCATGACTAGTGTATCCAGACATTTAACCAGATACCTAGTCCAAATGCAAGAAAAACAAAGGGCTGTTTTGATGGGATAAATGCTTTCATCTGTACCTAGCATTTGCAGTTTTACTCCCTTTGTCTCTTACCATTGCAAACACAAAGTTAGCTTTACTTGAACATTTAGCAAGAGTCCAGGCATCTTGCCATGGTAAAGTAAAGTAGCAGGACAAAACAAAAACAAAGTTTAAAAGTTTGTCTTCTGGAAGGCTTTTGCACCCTCAACACTGTCTTTGTACTTCAGGGCCTTTTGAAGCTGGCCTTGTCAGGCTAGAAAGACCTCTGCAGAGTCAAGAAAATACTCTCTCATAAGACCCTGAGATATGATAAGGCCTCAAATCCCAGGTTCTAAAGAAACAATGACAATGAAAAACCAAACAAGTGAAAGAACAGAAGATTGGGATCAGAAGATGAGCTATGAGGTAAAATTACAATGGTTTACATTTTTAAGTATCAGGGAAAATGCTCAATTGTAAGATTGATTTTCATGTTTGTTTTTTAGCACCCCCACCTCTCCAAGAGAGCTGGTTTGGTTTTTTTTTCACTTTGGCTGCTCAAGACTAGCATTTTCCCATTCTGTTTACTCTTTCACTCAGTCTTCACTAAAATGTCAGCAAACAATTGTCATTTGGTATCTGTAAAAGGTAATGCAGGTGGAAAGGGGAATACTGAAATCCAATACCTCCCTGTAAAACCCTACCATACTATCAACATCAGATAACTTCCTTTTCTCTGCTAGAAACCTGCCCTTGTAAATATACTTACTAGCATAGTAGTAAGGGAATACCTATCCAGATTTTTGGGTAAATTATCAGCAGATCTTCCCTCTCATGAGACAGAAGTTTTCTGGAAAGTAAATACCTGATCCAACTTTGCAATGGCACCTTAAGAAAGCTTTTCTCTGGATTTCAGTATGAAATGAGTGAGGTTGCCAAGATAGTTATGAGTCCTCCTCTGAAGTTCTGGGCACAAAGCAGCATTAAGGTCAGTACAACATATTTACCCTGAATAAAGCAATTTGAAAGAAATCACCTTTACTTAGCTTTCTCAGCACTTCACATGTTCAAGCATTCAGTTTGTCTTTTGAGTTTGGAAATATATTCTCATCAGAACTGCGCTTTAAATTCTAGAGTTTTGAGATGAATGTGTTATTTACAAGATGATTTAAGAATAAATTTAGGAACCACTCCTACTGACCAAAAAGTGTTGAACAAAAATCCAGCAATATATTTTTTTAAAAGTACCTCTTTGAAAGTTTGTTGAGGAAAGATATATCTTCAAAAAATTCTTTTTTTTTTTAATTTACAGTCAACTGGAAGACACAGGAACCACCTGCATTAACAAGAAAAGCAGGATTTGGCCCTGAGTGACTCCACTGAGCTCCATGCTGTCAACCTAAATTCTGAATGTAATTCAAGTTGGTCACTACAGCTGTGTTGTTTCAACAGAGGCTGTTTTACATGTCAGAAATGTCTGGACCACGACAAAGTCACTACTACACTTCTGACCTCAACATACTTTGGAACTTTTCAGGGGGAAAAAACTGTTGTAAAAAAACCTTTTTTCCCCCCTTCTCTTGTTCTAACCTTTA